AGTTTCTCATGAAAACATATATAGACATACAAAGCTAATCAACCAATGCCTCACTGACAGTTTCTTTCAGCAAGGAAATACAGGACAGTAGAACACCTGTGTCAATTCAGTTTTCACAGGACTAGAATGAGTGAAAACCACCCAACAAGTCTGCAAATCTTGCCCATTTTTTGCCTATAACAACCCCAGGAAAGCCCAAGCTGCCTTCTTTGTTAGAGGAGAAGGACATAACGTGGAGAGGACTGGTATATGCCACCATTTAGAAGATTTAAATAGATGTTGGGTAATCGACACCTTCACAGACTGGATTGAAGCCTTTCCTACCCATTCAGAAAAGGCTATGAGGTACTCTAAGTGCTTCTTAAAGAAATCACCCCGGTCGGATGTTTGGCACATGCCTATAATCCCAGCACTTGGGAGGCTGAGGTAGGACGTTTGTTGTAAATTTGAGGCCAGCCTGGGCTACATAGATGCCTGAACTACAAAAGGAAGGAAGGGAGGAAGGAAGAAAAATTCATCCCCAAATTTGGACAACCCCAGTCTCTCCAGAGTGACAATGAACCTTCTTTTACCTCCTAAATAGTTCAGGGAGCAGCAAAGCCTTTGGGAACAGAATGCCACCTGCATTCCACTTAGTGGCCTCAATCTTCTGGAAAAGAAGAGAGAGCCAACCAGACCCTAATGTGAGCTCTGGCAAAATTTTACCAAGAGACATCTGAGTCCTGGCTCTAACTGCTCCCAATAGCACTCATGAGGGTTCATAAGAGGCCCAAAACTGGGCTAAGTTTGAGTCCGTTTGAGTTGTTCATGGAAGGCTGTTTCTACCCTCTGATATAATAGTAGACCCTGAGACCATGAGACTCTTATAATAGCTCACTACTCTGGGCCAAGTACAAGGATCCAAATGTATGGGAACAGAGTCCTGCCTGTTCCTGGCCCAGGGGACCACCTCATGTCCTCCCTGGAGACCAAGTGCTTGTGAAAAGTTAGAGGGAGGGAACCCTGACAGACATGCAAAGCCCAAATGGGAAGGCCCTTTGGCTGTGATCCTTGCCACTCTCCCTGCAGTAAAGGTGGCAGAGATAACTGGATTCATCTTTCTAGGTTAAAGCCAGTCCCACCTGCACTGTTTAAAGAATGAAGTCACCCAAAAGAAAAAAGCTATTTCTGTGAGCCTCTGGAAAACTCAAAATTTCTTTTCAAAAAGCAAAGTTCCAGTACTGCCACAGACAAGTAAATAAGATTTTGCTAAGGCCATGGCACATGGGGAAACAGAAGCCAATTCCAGCTGGCTTCTGCACAGAGCTACATGTCATAGGGCCCGTGAGACTCAGGTCTGTGAGCTTTGCGTCTGGACGTTCCATTAATATCTTTGGCATGCTGGAGCTCATAAGACGTCCACAAAGGACGGTGCATCTGTCAGCTTTCGGTTATTGTCACACACACCTGAGCCAAACCAACTTCTAAAGAAAGGTTTCCTTTGGCTCACAATGTGAAGGGTGCTGCCCATTGGTGCCAGGCCCTGCTGCTTTGGGTGAAAGCAGTCACCTCAGGGCAGCCAGGAAGCCAAGAGAAAGAGCGGCAGGGGCTGGGGTCCCATTGTTCCCCACAAGGAGACTCCCCCAGTGACCTGCTTCCTCCAGTTGGGCGCCATTTCCTAAAGGTCCCTCCACCTCCCATCAGTGGGGATTTTACAAGGCCTTGGCCATCTGGGGCCCTTCAGGACCTAATCTGGAACACAGGATTGGGAGGGTGGGAAGACTTGGCCAGGGAGGGGTGTTCAGGGTGTTGGGGGCACAAAGCCCAGGGGTCACAGGCAGACTTGGGGAGTCACCAGGCAAAAAAGGGCAGTGTCCTTGCTCAGCCCTCTCTGAACCTCTGAACACTCCAGCAGGGGCTGGTCAGAAAGCCAGTTGCAGGCCAGTCCTCTGTGACTATGAGCCAGACAACTTGGGGTGCCGAGCAGTGCACCCTGTGGGGGTTCCGGTTTAGGGCTGGAGGGCAGCCTGGGGCACCCAGGCTGTAGCGGTGCTCCTAGAATCCTGTCTGGGCCTCCTGCCCGCAGGCTGCTGGTGGCCTATTGTCTGTTCTGCCAGGTCGCATGGGCCCAGGCTGGCACAGTAGCCTGGGGGCTGGGCACTGGGCACAATGCCCCCCATCTGCAACTGCAAGTTGCTGAGGCTGTCACAGGGCTGGCTGGGCACTTGGTCTCAGTCTCCAACCTGGGCTTGACTTGGTGCTGGGCCCCCTGCCCACCAGAGCTTGCCTGGCTCCACAGCACCTCTGGACTTCCACCAAGAAGGCCGTGCTGGCCGAGGGGTGTGTCTGTGGTGTGTCCCCCAGGAGGGGCTTGGGCAGGCCACCCTGATCACAGGATAGGGCATGCACAGGACACAAGCCCCAACAGGCTGTGAAGAGACTTTAGGAGTGGCCTCTGGCCCAGAGGGCTAAAGGGCCTTGCCCTGGTACTGCGCTTGTGCATCCCTCCCTGCACCCTCACCCAGGCTCACCCCACCTGGGCGAGTCCACAGCTAGGGTTCCAGAACCTCCTCTGGCTCTCACTGCCCCCAGGAGATGCCTAGTTTTACAGCTGTGCTTCCCTGGGACACATCAGAATCGACCCCAGAGAGCTCCCGTCTGGGCAGCGGCACGGCCTGCGAGACGCCTGGGGCTGGGGTCCCCTCACTTTCTCAGTGAGCCTTCCAGTCCTCAGCCCCATCTGCTGCACGCTGGCGACAGGCTGGGACCGTCACGGTGGCAGCCCCTGGTCTCACCTGCGTTAGAAGGCGCTCTGACAGTGCATGCTCCTCTCTTAAAGGTTGCCCAGCTGGGTGGTGTGCTTAAGAGCCTTGGGACCCTGCCCCGTCAACCTCGGACGCCCCCACGCTGTGGCCTAGCGACGTGTTCCGATACTGAACCAACCAGGCCCGACTCTCCTCATGGACCACGTGCTTTGCCCCAATCCAGGTCCCCCCGGCTGCCCTCGCCCTACAGGTGCCACCCCTTCGGAAAGCTCCCAGCCCCAGGACCCCTGGACTCTTCCCCAGAGACCTCGGAAGAAAACGAGAACGATGGAATCGTTTAAACAATTTATTGCGCCCCGCAGAAGGCCGATGGGATGGAAAGAGGCGCCGCGCAGCCCAGGGCCCCGCGCGATCGTTGGTTGCGTTTTGCGCATCCAAGGGCCGGGAGCATCTCAGCCAACCAGCGTCCCCGTCTGGGCAGCAGGCGCGGCCTCGGCCATAGGCGCCCAGGGGCCGGTCACCATGGCGACAGCCGTTGCCAAGGGCGAGAGCCAATGGGGGCGTCGCCAGGGCTGTTTTAAAAATCTAAAGCAAACAACAAAAAAAAGCTCCATCGTGGGGGGAGGGGAGGATCAGGCGGGCGGGAGAGCGGGGTGGGGGCTCGGGCCGGTCCGGCGAGAGGATCCGAACACGCTCGGGTGGAAAAACCGAGATGCCGCGGGGGCTGCCCGCCGACGTGGTCACTTGCGACCCTTGGGCACTTTGGGGACGCTGGGCTTTGCTGCCTTCTTCACCTTCTTGCCCGAGGCAGCCGCCGCTTTCGCGGCCTTGGCCCCTTTGTCCTTGGCGGCGCCCACCTTGCGCGCGCGCTTGCTGGGCTTCCTGTCCGCACGCCGCGCCTCGCTCGCACCAGGCGCCGGGGCCGCCTTCCGGGCCTTGTGCGGGGCGGGCGGCGGCGCGGGGGTGGCCGCCGTGGTCCCGCGCCGCTCCCCGCCGCCCTCCAATTTCTTGCGGTTGAGCTTGAACGAGCCGTTGGCGCCCGTGCCCTTCACCTGCAGCAGCGTGTCGTTCTGCACCAGGGCCTTGATCGAGTACTTGAGGTACGTACGCCCGTTCTGCTGGTCGAACCAGGCCACCTTGCGGGCCTCGGCGTAGATCCGGGCCAGCGACGAGCCGCCGCGCTCGCCCAACCTTCGGATGGTCTCCACCACCAGCTGGCTGTACTTGCCTGGCTGATTCTTCTTCTTGCTGCTTTTCTGTTTCTTGGCCACTGCCGGCGCCACCGCCTTCCGGGCCGGGCCATCGGCCGAGGTGAGCGGCAAGGCCTTCTCGAGCTCCACCGACATGGTGGCGAGCGGATTGGTGGCGGGCGGCGCGCGGAAGCCGGGGGGCCGCGCCGGGAAGAGAA